TTTCAACCCCTCAGTCCAGGAGGATACTTTGGAGCTGACTTGTTCTCTGAGAAGTGTAATGGTTTCCCAACAGCCCCCAGAGTGGATGTGAAAGCCAGGCAGGCAGCCCAGCTGCACTTCTTGCCTTCTGCTGCCTTAACCACAAGGAACTGCTTCTTTTTAGTACAATGCCCATCTGATGGGAACTGTTGATGCTTACCTCTGCGTACTCCCTTAGTTGCTTGCAGTGAGGTGGCCACTTGAGCTGCTTTACGCTCTGCCTTTGACCTTTCCCTTTTCTTTCTCTAAGTAAGGATGCAGTTAAACCATAGGATCTAATTTTACAGCAGGCCAAGCAATAGCTGAGTCCCAAAGACAAGCATGTAGAAGGAGCAACAAATTGCATGAGTCAGACTAAAAGCTTCATAAATATTGACTGGTTTTAACAGTCCCCCAAGGAACAGAGAATCTCATGTTATAACTACATCTCTCTCCACATCATGCACTCCCTCTTCTCAGGGAGCTGCAAGGGGGGCTGCTCTCCTGGCTTATGTGCACAATATTTTAGTTCCTTTCTGCAGTCAAACTGTTCTGTCGGGGACTTGGCACCACACATCAGCAGAGTATCTGAGCGCCTTCCAGTGGTGCTTTAAATAATGGGACTGGAGAGGGTCTTGTTCTCTCAAGTTTGCCCCAGAGTAGGAGTGACAAAAGCAGAGGAGAAATCAGATATTAAATGTGCAAACAGTGAAGGCTGAAGAGGACAGGGTGGTTTTCAGTACCTTCTACTCTGATTCCTAGCAGGTGAAGCACAGTTGGAGACACAGAGGAGCAGACAGATGCAATAGGAACGTAGACAGGAGAGACAAGTGGTGTCAGGTCTACAATGAGGATACAGGCAAGAAAGGCAGACACTGTGGAAGGACTTGGCTACAGCAAATGGAAATAGTCTTTTGGGCATGCGAGTAGACAGAGGTGATAGAGGCACATGGTGGGACAGGGCAGGTATACTGTAAGTCACTGCCCAGGATGGGAAGCAAGATGACTTCTGCCTTTCTGACATTAGGTATGAAGCTCACTTCACCCCTTCTGTGAGGGTAGCACCCCTTTCTTGCCTGCTAAAAAGCTCACCAACTTCTCCCTGCTTTGTTGGGGCTGTCAAGCCCCAACCCTGCCTTTCCCTTTGCAAGGCATGTCCCCTCCTCATTTCCAAATTTGTCATTCCCCACCCTCATCTTATTCTTAAAAACACTCTAGGCAAGAAAACAGTGTTACAAGAGTCTCTCCAGATGCATTGCACAGCATAAAATCCTGTCTCTACCAGCTGAGACTACCTGGTTGCAGCCAAGTCTGCAGGGGTGCAGAAGCTGCAGGACAGTTCATGTTCGCTTTCTCTCAAACTTAAGCAAAGGCTCTTCACTAACAGGTCCTCCTACAGCAGGTTTTTTGCTTTGAGACCAAGCAAACCATAATTAAATGGAGACCATAAGACCACGGAAAAGCCCATGGGTGCTATTGAGGCTCACCTGAAATACGTGATGTGATATTTTCATGTGTTCTCAGGAAGCTCTGAAAAAGAAAAGAACATCCTCGCTCTCTCCAAACCCCAAATGTACAGCATACAAAGTGGTCTGGAAACCTGCCACTCCAAGCTGGATCTGGAAAGGATCCCTTTCATGTTCTCCAGCTTTCAGCAGCTCAACACTGCCTCCTGCATCTTACAAGTCACTCAAAACCCACACTGAATTCCCCTTGTCTGAGGCTTACTCTGAAACAGTAAGGGTTACTACTTTGGGGTTAAACTAAGGTTAGGTTATTTGGGGACTGCATCTCTTCTAGAGGCAGTCCCATCTTCATTAGCCCTAGCTAACAGCAAAGCCCAAAGTGGCTTCAGAGAAACTAGGACTTTGTATAACGTACCTGAAAGCCTTCACCACTCCAAGATCTACTAGTCTACCTGGCAGAGGAGTCCATGCACAGAAAGGAGCTGAACATTTTGAGGAAGATGATGTCCAAGAGCAACAAGGGCCCGTCACTCCCTAGGGAACAGTGAGCCAAGTGCAGTGAAGCTGCCAGCAGGACAGAGACCCATCACAACGTGTGCAAGCAGGACAGTCCCAGAGACAGCAGCCAGATTCAGTCAAGACTCCCAATGATCAGGGAAGCCCGTGACAATGAGGCAGACCCAGGGTCAAGCTGGAAATCAATCCACTAGTCTGAATCAGGCCTGATGATAGCAGCCAGGGTCAAACATAGCCCAGTGAACACCAGATAGGTCCACACTGATGGAACACGTCTGAGGTCAAGCAGGGAAGTCAACCTGTCTGGGTCCAGAACAGTAGGTCCCATGGGCAGGCAAAATTCTGGTCTGCTGAACTGCAGACCAGAATTCCCCCAATATAGATCAGGCAAAAACAGAAGCAGCCCAGGGCTGAGCTTTAATAGGGCTTCTCAGCCTGTGGGCAGAGAGGGTGGTGGAGGCCCCAGCTGAGGCTGCTTAGGACTGTTATGACACATGTATTCCTCTCACACTCAGAAATGGTGCCTGGCCCAGCTGCTTGGCCCAAGACTTCTCCATTACTGCCCTCTGGACTGGTTGGCTTTGTCCACCCTTGTCAATTTTTCAGTTTGATTGTGTCTGATTACTTGAAGTCTGCACAGCTTTATGAAAAGAGGAACTTCTACATGAAGAGGCTTAGACAGACTAGGACCATGGGAGGTAGAGATGGAGCACGCATCTTCGTGTTCTCACTATCTTTAAGCTTTAGACGCAAGTGCTCAGTGGATGATGTTTACCACTCAATGAAGTAATAGGGAGACTATGGAGACTATGTTGTTTACCTATTGAGAATAAAATATGTAAGAACAATAAAATGTAATAGTGTTTCCAGCACCTGGACAAATGGGCTAAAAGCAAAGGAATTTTTCAGGGGGGAGTCTTACAAAAGCCAAACACTGCAAATCAACCATCTCATAACTGCAACAAATGCAAAAAGTCCACTAGTGTCTGGCAGTGGCTGTCAGGCATCTATCCACTGGCTGAGAGTATCCGCCTCTCACAGCATCTGCTAATCTCCCTTGTAGTACATAAATGTAGAATGGCAGTCTCTCACCTTCACCAGGACACTCACTTGAAAGGACTGGCACACTCTATATGTGAGTTGCTTTGGGGACTGAGCAGTTGCAGTGACCCAAGTCCATCTGCAGTGAACGAGGAAATCCCATGGAATAGCTTATCTCCCTGAAAAAGCCTGCTAATAGCCCGTGATATCTTATAGCCAAGAGTAGGAAAAACCAGTTAGAGTTCTGCAATTTCTGCATAAACTTAGATGAGGTGGGGAAAACCCACCTTGTATATCAAGGCGAAGTCAATTTCACAGCAAATCTCAAGACAGACTGGTAGCAAGCTGAAAAGCCATTTAATATCAAGTAAAAATGGACCTGACCTTCCCTTAAGAATATAGTTTTGAGTCAGAGCTACTATTGTTCACCATGAACTCTGCAAAGTGGTGCTCATCAAATTATGGCCTCTGCTTCATGGGGGCTGGTCACCTCAACCAGTTTGATAGAGGCAGCTTAGGGAGACAGAGGTGGCTGAAAAAGTGCTCCCAGTAGGACATAGGTGTCCTTCAGTCCAAACAGAACTTTATGAAGAAGGAGAGTACTTCAGCTGGTTGATCACTGTTTCACAAGACAGAGGGAAAAGTTTGGTTTATTTGTACATATTGTATCTGCAGGAAAAATTTGGGGATATTTCCTCAGTAGAGAAGTGCTCCTTAATGGAAGTATTACATTCATTTTCATAGGCATTTCTTGCAAAAAATCTGAGCCTTTCCCCCTCCATTTTTTAGTAAAAAGTAAATATTAAAAGGGAAACTATTGAAAGGCTAGTCATTTTATAACTATCCAAGGTGCACACCAAGTTGTAGGGAGAGCTGGGGACCAGAAGACAAAAGCCCAAACATGGAAATGGTATTGTCTGTTAGCTAAGATGAAGTGCACGTACCATCAGGCGAAGATATATTAGGTAATCTGGCATGATGTGGTGTCAAAAAAGTACACAAAGTGAGTCACTAGGAGTATATGTACAAGTCAGAGCTTGGCCAAAGAGTAGTACAGATGATTCAGTTCTGCAGAGGAAGCAGAAGAACAAAGTTTAGCACTGTTACTATTACAACATTTTTCTTGGTGAGGTTGTAATATGAAACTAGTAGCAGGTCCCTGATCAATAGTGATGGACAGGCAACAAGCAGAAGCCAAACAAAGATGTAGTCATGACCTGAGAAGACAAGGAATATGTGCAATGTGCCTCAATACTTTGCTCTAAACTAATAAAATATGGCTGTGCATCCAGAACCAGCATCTGACCTTCCACTTTTTTTTTTTTTCCAAGAAAAAGCTGAAGACAGTTGCCCATCTTTGATGTATTCCATATCTGCTGCCAAATCTGCACTCCCCCACTCAAACATAATCCCAAAATAGGGTGTGATGCCTTTCGCATTGAAAAAGCCATAAGTCACAGTGAGTGAGACACACTCAACATCCTCCAACGAATTAGATGAAAAGAGCTCTCCCCCTCTGTGTCCCACCACTTCAGCACTCATTATATCTCACATTAATTAATATAGGCACTAGGAAGTGAGATGATAAATTACAAAACCCCATTAACCTGATTCTGTCCAAACTGGTGACATACGGCAACTTGTACGTTAGACAAATCTTCCTTGCTAATGTGGGAGTCTTCATGCCTGAACTCCATTAAAGCAGCAGCCCTGAAAAAATATTTTTAATGTATGTACGTATGGAATATATATCAATGTGCGTGGACAGTGCATGCCTGTGGGAACATCAGAATTCATTAGATCAGTCTGATATGAGATATATTGAACAGGTTCCATCTGACGTCTGTTACTGGGTTGTTCTGTCCACTCCCAAAGGAGTGAATCATATTGACAGGTTGAATTATATCTCAAGAGATATTTTTCTCCCCTCCTCCAAAGGCCATTTGCAATCACGGCACATCCACTGCCTCTTAAAAGTGAGCTCATCTGGCACTGGGTTGCATTGGAGTCCTCCACCGTGCCTGAAGGAAGAATGCTTTTGGGTGGTGGGAATGTGGAGAAGATGTGGTCTGTCCAGCTGTTCCTTGGAGTGCTAACTATCTTGACCATGACTGTATATGTCCCATCTACACATGGAGAGCCTTTTTTACTACAAGGTAAGCTGGAATACAGACTAGATGACACAGGTAGGTGGTTATCTTTTTGCTTTGCTTTGCTGCTTGTCATGGCCAATGCAACACTCGCTTATCTGTGAAAGAAAATGAAATGATCCTTGAGCTATTCTAAACAATCAATTAACATGGGTGCTACCCAGAGACTTGTTCATATTAGCATGAGCTAAAGCTGTCCTTCTGGTCTGCAACTGGTCGTATGACACATTCTGCTAATCAGTAAAAATATCAGATCTGGTGAAATCTGGTAAGGGTAGTTCTTTCTTTCCACAAAGAAAATTTCCAAAGAAAAACATTAAAATAACAGAGAGTAGCAATTCCAATATGTAGCATATGAGATCTGACAGCTCATAAATGTCAGTAGTAGGGTGCTGCTGAACTTTTTTTATTCACAAACCTTCTTTTTTTATGTTCTTCTCCCATAATTTAAATTAATCTTAGCTTGAACTTATTCCGCAGGGAAATGTCAATCATTAATCTTCTTTCTTGAAGAGACTTGGCAGTGGGGAAAAAAAGAGCAGCTAAATATAGGCTTGAAAATAACATTGCTTTTCAAATGATTTTTCCTCTTATATCACCTATTTATTTTTGTAATGACAACCAAAACATTCCTGAGGCCACTCTATCTAAATACTGCTTCTGTTTGGTTTTTACTAGAGTGTTTATAGGTTTTTTTTTTTCTGTAGCAAATCCCCCAAATGACTAAAAGTAGCTATTTTAAAATCATAACTGTCTTTCAGACTTAGGAATGAGGTTTATAGCAATCCACTCTAACTACAAGCTTTACACAGTGTGTAGCTCCGCTAAGTCCCTGGGGTTTATTTCCAGAGATCACGATCAGGAGCAGCGGCTTCAGCCGCAGCGTGAGGCAGGGTTGAGTCTGGCCGAATACTGGGAGTATCACTATGGCCAGGGCTCCTCTGCAGATTTATGTGACTTTAGCTAATGGAGCTGATTCCCACATACTCTTGAGCATCCTTAAGGCTCACCTGGTACAATGATTTGTCTCACGTGTATCAAAAATAATTCCATTCATCCCATCACAGCTATATAGGGCTGATAGCTATACAAGACCATTTCCTCCTTCTCACCTCCTTGAAGGAAGTGAGCAGAAGTCTTAAAGATCCTGAAGAAGAGAAAATAAGGCTTTCTGTATAATTTCTTAGTATTTTCCATGAATTCTGTAGGCATCTTCTAGGACTTTGTAGGGTGTAGATGTGGGGCAGGGATGTTCAGACCAAAGAGTTTGGAGAAGGGTGATTCTCCCTGTTAAGTCTGGCTCCTGTTCTGTCATTCTCAAAAATGAATGCAACATTCAAGTTTCAGATGATTCTGGAAGTCTGTTCAGCAGAGCTGGGAGGGTGTCAGAGCCTTTCAGGGCTCTGATCTGTCCCATCCCATGTGTCCATTGGTTTCTTCTGAACCCTTGACCTTCACAACCATTCATTTGAGGGCATAGCCACAACCACTAAAGCAAAACCACTGAGAAAGGTCTCTAAAGGGACCTCATAGAGAGGTCCAAATTGCTTTAGGACAGCAGCTTGGGGTGGTTTTTCTTGGAAAACAGAAAAATTCTACGTGGCTTACAGCTACTGTAAGAGGCTTCCTCAGGGATAAAGAGAGGCTTTCTTTAAACTCTTCCACACTTTGGCTCTGTTCAGGAGGAATCCTTTAATACCACTGTCAATCAGATAGAGCAGCCCCAAGGCTGATTGAGTGCAAGAATAGACTGCGGGGCTGCAGGGCTTTTCAGCTGTGGTACTCACACATCAGCCCTCATGAGGAGTGAGCTCCCACCTCCATCAGCCCTGGGAAGGTGGATGGTGTGAGTGGGGGGAACACCTGCAGATTTGAGAAGAAAGGATCTGATGAGTTGCTATCTGGCTTTGCAGAGGCACCCGCTACATCCACCTTGCAGAAGAGGTCGGGACTTCCTAAATCAAGGTGATGTCTCTGGCTCTCTGCAGCCAGCCATGCTGATGAGGCTGCAGTGAGACTGGCCAGCAGCCCAGAGCTGGCAGGGATGGCTCCTCCATCCCACACCCTTTCACTGCATAGCCCTCACTGCCTGAACATTTTGTTCTGTGCTCACACACCTTCCTCTTCCCCCAAGCTCTTTCCACCCTGACAAAATGCTGACAGGAGATATTTTCCCTCCGCTTCTTAGCCATCTTAATTTTTCTGTTAATGTTGGGGACTGGAGGGTCCATTATTTTTGTCATTAGAGATCGAGAAAGGTGTGTTTTATGTGCTGCAGAGAACCGAGTGCTTCCCGAGAGAGAAGACACAAATCACGAGGACACACTGCTGACTCTGCTTCTTAATAAGAAACTCGCATGGCGGAGACCGGAAAATATTGGTAAGTGAAGGAGATGGGAGATCTCAGCTCCTTGAATCTGTGTTTTCATGAACACAAAGAACCTGGTCCTCAGGTTCCTCAGAAATACTAGCTGCTCAGAAAGTGGAAGCACCCAGTATGGTGCCTACACATGATTAATGTCAAGTGTTCTCCATCACGGGACTACTAGACTTGCTTTTGCAATGTGATGTAAAGCTGCCCAAAAAACACGCACCCTAGATCCTCGGACACTCAACACTGAGCTGGCAAAGGAGCATGTGTGTGTATATAAGTGATAACAACAAAAGATGCTGCTGAGTCCCTGTGCCTCTGCTAATCTGAGACGTTGTGTACTATGCCTGGGGCATGGGCCAGCCTTGGGAGTCACCTCTTCGTCCACATCCCATAGAGCCCCATGTGGTTTTGAGAGACAGCTCAGTGTCTTGCTGGCACGCTAAAACCAGTAGCATGTTGTAAGCACATGGGGCAGAGGAGCGGCATCAAGATTTTGCAGAGAGCATATGGCTGTGATCCCTTGGAGTCAGGTGTAGGTTGGGACAAGGACAGTGGGAGCTCATATCTAGGCCTAAGCCCCTGCTACAGCAGGAAGAGTTTGAGACAACAGGCTTTTCCCACATCCCAAAGATGGGCCACGTGGAGGCTTTTCCTGTCTGTGCTCTGTGATCAGACACCAAATTTAAAGCCACCAGCATGCAGCTAAACTCAGACTGACTGAAAAGAAACTTGGGCTTTCCATGATACTATGCACAGTGATCACAAGCACCATATGGATTACAGGGGTCAGCTGTTCCCACGGCCACTGCAGCCAGGGGAGGGTTTGGACTGTATGTGGTGGTCTCAGAGTAGGAAGATGCCTTACTCTGTGAAAACAGCCGAGAACGTGGTCCAGCAAAAATTCTGTTATGAAAATCTATTCATCAAAATCACTCAGTGCTCTTCCTCAGACCCTTGTTAATGCAGTGAGGCAGTGGTTAAACAATCTTGGGACAAATAAATAAACACAAATAAATCAAGTCCTTATACTAACAAAGGCATTCTTCTTGCAAAGGGGATGCATTCAAGAAATAACATTTTTATGATTGGTTTATGGATTATTGCACTTATTATTCCTAGAGGAAAGGCTGCATTTTATGCCAGACAATTGAATATAATGAATCTCTGAGCAGAGCACAGACAGAGGATTTACAGCAGGCAGTTTCTCAAGGCTTCATCCATAAATTAACTTCCTTCTTCCTGCCTGAGATAATCTGTTCCAAATTTCGACCGCTGTTCATTTTCTATTCATAGCAGTCATTGGCCAAGCTTATGGTTTGCAGAAAGTGGAGCTGAAATAGGCACTCAAAACTCTGAAAGAGGTAAAACCGTGTAGTAGAATAATAATAAAAAATTATTATTGTTGATAATAATAATAATAATAATAATAATAATAAAATCTCTTAAGTGGCACTTTTGACTTGCAGATACAAAGGCCTGGCTGTCTCTACCTTATGGATATGTAAAGACATGCTTAAAGGAATCTGCCTGAGGTCATTGCTGGCAGTGCCAGCAACAGAGCCCCCACTTCCTGACTCCCAGCCCATACCCATTCCCATTCTGTCTCTCAAACTGAGCCCTAATGTACTGGATTTGCTTAGGAACTGCTACTTTTTCTGTTTGTGAATATCTGTCAGAAAATATTCAGAATTTTTCAAGTGAATTGTTTCCTTCTCGAAGGAGAAACTGAGAAAGCAGTCAGCTCTTTCTTGGCACCCTCCTGCTCAGTTTCAAACGTTTAAAAAAAAAAGCCCAAGTCTGGCAATGTGTCTATGTGCTGAAGTCTTATCTGAAATCAGGGGGAATTATGTCTTAAATCCCCTTGGAGATGCAGACCAATGCCTGCTGCCATGTTAGGAGCACAAAAAGGAGGCAGCTCCAGGGCTGGTTTTTGGCTTTCTTGTGGGGCCCAGCAGAGACATTCTTTATCTCTTTCCTGGCTCTTCTGCTTATTTTAGTGCATTTTTTCCCAAACTGGCACTTAAAAGCACCTGATCACTTTGCATTCCCCTCCCAGGAGAACTGCTGCAGTCCAGTCATTCAGCTCTGACCGAGCTCATTTTGTTGTGGTGCTTTCCATTGTTTCATCTATCTTACTAAAAATATTAACTGTTTTGGCGTCTCCTCAAGATGAGTGAGACTGAAATCCCCCATCCCTTCCTGCAGCTTTCTCTACTGCTAGTCCAGGCCCTTCCCTGTTCAGCTGGAGGTTTTAGATCCCATTCATAGCCACCTAACTCACCCCTTGTCCTGGATGGGTTATCTTAGGGCAGTTCATTCATCCATCTGCACAAGTTTTTGGTAGTCTAGTGCAGTACTGCTCAGCTTTGAGATCTCTAAGTCTGATCCATGAAGCTGGTCCCCAGGTCTCTGTGCTGCCCTAACATTCAGAAGTGAGGAATCCGTGCACTCACTGCTATGTTACTTTTCCTGTTGCTCCACTCTGCAGATACTGATGTTTGCTGACTTACAAAGCAATAAGTTTTGCTAGGCTAAATCTGTGTGTTCTGAATTCTGCCTGCATGGGTGATGTGAAGATAAACAAGTCTTAAAGGAAGCAATGGGAGTTCATATAAAAGACCTGTGACAGAAAAGCCAGCATTAGAGATTTGCTGCTACCAGGATGAAAATAAAAAAGCAGTAAAGATGTTCACCTGAGTTGGTATCACACAGTACGTGACCTTGCTGGGCCAATTCACATAAGCCTGGTGAATGATAAAGAAGCCTCCTTCGTAATGGAGAACTGGGGTAAAGTCCCATAGAATTCAGCAGAGAAAGCCTACTTTTATGTCACTATTTCTGCTACTATAGATTTGGAGATTACTAACAGGAATTAAATGACAACTACGTCTTTTCTTGTCAACACTTGAAGAAGTTAAATGAAGAAATTGTTTTTGATTTGAGCTTTAGGAAGCAATGCAGATACTGATGTTATTCTCTCCTTTCTGGCAGACTGGGAGCTGGCAAAGAAATTTGAAGAGCTTGAACAGGTAAGAGGAGCAAATGCACAGACACATATATGCATACTGTTGTATGAATAGCTAAACAACTGTGCATACTGTCTATGCCCTATTCTTCTGCCTTTGAATCCTGCTACTCTTCATTCTGCTGCTATAACGTAAGCATACATTGCATAGAGAGAAAAGCAGAACCCAGGCTAAACAGCTGCACAAGCTGGAAGAGATAAAGAGAGAGCAAGACTATACATTAGTGCAACAAAAGCTGAGGTAGCTCTTGCCTCTGCTACCAGTGAAAGGCCAGTGAAAACCAAGCCAGGAAAAAACCAAACACCAAAGGAAATCTCCATTGAAGAAAAGGGAGGGAGAAGAGGAGGTCATGCTGCCTTCCTCAGCATTGTATCAGCCGGCTGCATTAGATAACAGTTGAAGTTAGAGGGATAGCCACTCCCCAACTAATCCAGGATGATTTATGTTTGGGCACTTCACTAGCAAGGGAGGCCTTATCCAGGGCCAGAGCCCTGCTGTGCTGAGCAGAGTGCGCGCACACACACACACACACAGAGACAGCAAGAGGTAGCCCCATCCCACACCCAATGCCCACTAACAAGGAAAGTCGTGCAGCAACCTTGACATGGCTCCCACTCTGCCCCAAACCCTGCAAGCAGTAGAAGCCCTTTTTCCTCTTTCTCAGGCCAGATCCAGCTGTTTGTGTGGATCCTGGAGGTCCTGCTGGTTTCCACTTGGCAATTTTCACTTCAGACTGAAAATCACAGTGCGGCATGCCAGACGGGACCTGACAGCTCCTACCTTAGCCCCTCACTCCAGTGCTGAGGGACATTAACCTCTGGCTTCCTGGGAGCAACACTGCCAGAGCAGAAGTCTAGATGATAGCCATAGTTGTTCCCAGTCTACTAGAGAAGAGTAGCTACAGATGGAGAAGAAATACTGTGGATGTCCCACATTATAACCAAGAGAAGTTAGCAAGAACTAGGGGGAAGGAAGGGGAGGGACAATGCAGAGCAATGGAGAAGCAATGTTCTCTGCTTCAGTGGGTAGATGCCTGGAGACCTCCTGCCCCAGCACTGACTCACGTCTTACTGGAGCAATGTCCTTCTACACAGCCTCTTCTCCACAGGTGTTTGCACCCTGGAGTAGGGGGAAGAGCAGAGAGTGCCTACATTGCTGCCACGAAACAAGCAGCTTAATGGAGGAGGACATGAGGAGGAGTTAGTGCTCCAAAGGCAGATCCTCCTGGAACGGTCCTGCCCCCAGGGGAGAGCCTGCCCTCCCCAGTAATGCTGTCAGCCAGGCTGCCTGTCCCTCCTGCCTCTGAGCTGCCCTGCACTTGCCAGCATGCTGTGGAGCTCCTCATGATGGGCCATTTGTTTACTGCTGTGTTTGTTTTTAAACAGCTGGAGAAGTTGAAGGATCAGCTCTCAACTGAGGAAGGGTCAGAGGTGGCCTATGCCTTGGAAAGTCTCTCAGCATCCCAGCCCAAAAAACGCGGTAGGTTTTAGGTTAGAGCCCTGTCCAGCTTTATTCACCAGGTCTTCCTTTTTGCAACAGACAGTGACAGTAAACATGCCCCAAATATGCTGAAAAACAGGTTGACAGGTTTTCTAGCAGTCCTGGCCCTCTCTTGTTAATAGCTGGCTGGTTTAGCAGCTGGTGAGAAGGACTGTGCGCCCAACCCTGTCTGCTGTCGGGGCAGATACACTGGGTCTGCACATCCAGGACCTCGCTGGAGGCAGTTAGTGTTGCAGCCTTTTTACAGAGGAACATGGGGTTATATGAGCAACGAGTGCCTGCCTGGGAGTGGGTGAGTTCTGTGTGAACATGTGCCCTCAGTGCACCCGTCGCTTTGCTCTGGGCACAAAGCTGATGCTGAAGGCATAATGAGGCATGTGGACTGCACGCATTCCCCTCTACCAAGGTCACTGCCTCCCTACAGAGTAAAAACGGGTACTTGTTTGTGCTGCTGAAAAGCAGTTAAAAAGGATATGGAAATCAACCGAGAGTGGAGGGAACTAAGATCTGGCAGGTCCCCCAGCTGGTGTCCAAGCTTTATCCAGTCTGTATCCAGTGACTCAGGAGCGTACTGCACCAGTGCTTCTGCAAGGCTGCCCCTGACAAGCACATGGACAATGCCGTTCGCACTGGCTTTCAGTGGATTCCTCCACAAAGTAGTGACAGGTGTGAACCAGAAGTCAGTGATGACAGATCTGGCTAAAAACAAAAGAGGTAGTTCTGCCCTTACCCACGTGTTCTGTCGAAGCACAAGCTGACAACCTGCCAAACAGCCAAGAGAAAATCCCTTTGTGCAAGGCTTGCTTAAGTGCTTAGGTGATCCTTAGACAATCTGCAATTTATAAGCAACCCTGGAGGCTGTCATTAATTTGGCTAATCTAATTCATGCCCCCCCCAGTCTGGAAGGTTCAAATGTAGATAAAACTACTTCCCCCTGCCAGGTTTAAATCAGATTCTGCCAGAAATTAAAGCAAAGAATCTTTGCCTTCATCTAAAGTCCTTTCAGTCTGGCAGGAGCTCGTGCCTCAGCATGAACACTGCTGATTAAGTAGAAGCTTTCTCCTAAGATCCTGCTTTCAAAAACCAGGTAGAAATCTCCTCTCATACTTGACAATAGAAGACGCACAATAGGATTCAAAGAACAGGGCATGCTGGTGATACAGCTATTTTTTATAACACCAAAATGTGCATCCTTCCCTAACCTAGTCTTAGAAGATCCCACAGAGATCGATGTTGTTTGGAGGACAGTTAAGAGAAGGGTGGTAGGGTGACTGGCTCTTAAGAAAGGATTGTAAGGGCCAGATCTGGTCTCTCCAAGTCAGTATCCTGCTCTTCCCATCAGCCAGAGGCAAAAAACCCTGAACACACCTCTGAGACAGCAAAACTGCTGGCCAGTAGACAGGAAAGAAAAAGCTGATTCCTGATGTTGCTGAAGTAGAGCAAAAGGAAAAGAAAACCTTCATAAATCAAACAACACGGAAACAACTTTTAGATCCCTTATTTACGTTATAAGCAGCTAAAAGAAACACTTTCCAAAAGTGTTATATGAAGTCAAAGCTGGTTATTGAGATATGCCCAGAAACCACAACGTTGGCTTCACACCCCGACTCTCTTAAGACAGTTGAGCATTTGAAATCCACTCCAGGGCTAGAGCAGGAAGCTGGAAAAAGTCCCTTGGATGCTAACATCCTTCTCTTGTATCCCTTTCCAGCCTGCTTTTGGAAATACTGCATCTGAAGGCTTGCCAGGACGGGAGGATGAAGATGAGCCCTTCCCCAAACTGCCCTGCTGGGTATTAATGTGTTAAGAGTTTGTTCTGTTCTCTCATCATGCTGCTAACTCGGATGCCATGACCACACCACAGCCAAGTCTAACAGGGACTGTGACAGGGGCTGGTAGCCCACTGCCACTCTTCACTGTTCCTTCCTTCCAGGTTTAACCTACCACGATCCGCTGTGTGCTGTTCGGTCTGCTGCCACTGCAAGCTCTTCCCCTTCTCACCAGGTCCCCTGAGGCACCAAACACTAACACAGTTCCCCTGAGCTTGGGCCTCTGCCCACATCTGCAGACGTTGCTCACGGTGGTGTCTGGGTTTCCCGTCACCTCCTATGAGCAGGTCTGTGATGACCTCACACCCGCTGTTGGGACAGGAAGGCAAGCTGGGTGTGACGTGAAGGGCTCAGGGCTGCGTGCCTCAGCTTGCGGAGCCAGAGCTGTTCCTCATCGTGTCCCGTCAGCATACACCGTAGGTTTGGGGGAGGACAGGCACAGAAGTCTCAATCCTTTGGATATCATTCCAATAAAGATTTTCTGTTCCACAGAAGCACGTGCAGTTTTCTTTCTTGCCTCCTGGAGAAGCCCACAGGGCAGCACATTTCCCTTGATGTAGGCTCTTGTTGCCTTAATGGTACATATGAAGTTTACAATGGAAAAATTGTTCCCATAAAACACCTAGGTATAGCACCTTGTTTTAATATGCCTGAGGAGGAGGTCCTCCCTTTTAACCAGAATTAGGAATGAGAGTTGGGTCTTCCTCACTGATATGTATGGGCTGCTATCCTCATAGGACTGGGCCAAGCCCACTGATTTCTACCTACTCAACCCAAAGAGATGTTTTGAGCAGAGATTTTTGGCTTATCTGGCTGGTCAGTGCAGATGTTAGCTGGCTTTTTCTACTGCAGAATTATGTTTACCCCTGTCCAAAAGGAGAGACCACAATCCATCAGTGGTTCTTACATATATCCATCTTAAGTCATCTTAAGTTTTTATTTGCAAAAACAAAGTACCATGTTCCCAAAGGTGTAAATTCAGAATAAATCCTGATGTTAACTTTGAGCTTTCCAACAGTGTAAATGAGAGCAGAATCTGGTAGCCACTGTGAATGTGTGGACTGATTTTGTCTAGAATTGAACTCTCTCCAGCCCTGTCGAGCCATGCTAATTAACTGCAGCTTGTATACTGCATATTCTTCAAAACTTTACCTCTCCCAAAACTGTAATTACCATGCTACATTAATTGCCTTGGGCTCTGGCAAGAAGCACATGCTTGCCACACCAGTACCTTGTATGTACTTCATTAACAGGAGATCTGTTCATCCTGTTACAGGCCAAAGCTGGCATCTATGGAATAAAACCAGCTTGATTATATCAGTGAGATCTAATGACATGCAAAACACAGTTTGCTGTTAACATAATTCTTTGTTATTTCCTTGGGAGTGATTCAGAACACATTTCCCATTTTCTGTTGCTTTTGTGCAAGTGAAATATATATGGGAGCACACCCTCACAACGGCATCAAAACCAGGAAAAAATTATAGCCTATTGCCAAGAGAAGGGCCTCTCTTAAAGAGTTTGGTGCTCCAGTTGTAAGGCAGGTGTATCACAAGAGCTGCACTGAGCGCCCCAAGCTGGTATTTAGCTCAGATGCTTTCAGCTTGCAAGAAATCCTGGTACAACGAAAGACCAGAGCAGCAGGCTCCATCTGGTACCTGCTAGCTGTAGCCATGCCTTCCTGACCCTGTGTGACAACTCATCAGCAAGTCAGGAAAAGGAATACAGTGTCTGTGACTATTTAGCAGCTTGCTCTGATCCTAGACATAGGAATTCCCTGGAGTGCCATGCACCATGCTGCTTAGTAGTGATTTTTAGCCCATGTGGTGTGCTGCAGCCTATCAGCATAGTTATTTAAGAGCTCATGGTACTCCAACTACCCCACTATTTCCTCAGGCACTATATGCTGCTGTGTTCTGCTGGAGTGATGAGTAAGTGTTGAATGCAATTCATTTACTAATTCGAAGCAAAGGCAGTGATGCTCTCCCTAGACTCACCCTCAACATGTCACTGTGAGGGTCGTGTCCTTTCTCCTAAACACGCAGAACAGAAACTCTTCTCTTCCTCAGATGTCACCTCCACATCGTGGCTGCTCACACCTTACCCGTGGGCAGTCACTCTTGCTAAAATTAATGACCCACAGGCAATAATTAAAAGGATTTCCCTTAGACATTCTAGTAGGCCATGTTGATTTATTAGCAGAAAATCCTCTCAGGCATCTGAATGGATTGGCAAACAGGCAGCACAGGGCAAATCTAATGTGCAACGGATGCTGCAGTATATCCTCACTTCACATTTGTTGACCTCCATGCTATGCACAATGACTGAAGCTATCCAATATCGTCTACAAAAACAAATTGTGGTGTTCAGCCTTTCAGATATCATCATATTTTAAACAGCACCTGACAATTTACAGATTTTAAAGAGCGCTTTTTGAGCCACAGGAGGTCACAGCATGCTCTGTGGAGGATGGAGCAGAGGAATAGAATGGCTGTTGCTTTCTCACAAGTAATCCATGCAGTGAAGTGGGAGCCAAGAGCAGGACTGAAGCTTCCAGCTCCCAGTTCCAAGCAACACCACCACAGACACCTCTTTCACATCAGCCTTCAGATGGAGGGCATTTCTGCACAGAACTTACAGGCTTTAAAACCTCTCTTTATTAGGAAGCCCAGGCTAATACCTGTGAACTGTTAAATACTTTTATGATCCAGCAGTGTCTTTGCAAAGCCATTGTGTTAGCATTGGATTCCTCTGATCTGAGTGTCCCAAAATATGTCATGCAATGACTCTGTCCACGCTGCTTTTGACAGACAGCTGTATGAGTGGGCAGGCCATCAATTCCATAACCTGCCCATGCCCCATACATATGGCTACTTTACAAGTAGATTATCTGCAGACTGTCTGGATGAGCTCAGTGCAAGAAGATAACTTTACTAAACCGCAGGGCAGGCTCAGGACAGGCGATGGCAGTGCACTGCAGAGGGCGGGGTCTAGGCTTCTCTGTGAATGCATTTACATGCTTGCTTCTAGCAGGGACAGAAAATCTTGTCTCAAGTCAGCCCATCTACAGGCTGACTCAATCCAGATATCAGAGCCTTCACCTGCAAGCTTAAAGGCAGAAAATGAGCAGTGGACCAGGGGAAAAGCAGGGAGCAAAACCCTAAGATGACCACGTATGGACTTACAGCCCTTCTTTCTTTCTATGACTTTCAAGAGCTTGGTCTGGAAAGCATCTGTGGTGGTTCACCTCACACACAAGTACCAACAACTTACCCATTGAAGGAGGAATGATAACTTAACTCAGCTAGAGCGTGATCTTCTTGATGGGAAAGAGGGGGCACCTCCTGATGTGATTCACTGGTTCGTGCAGGTGCTTTCAGCGGCATTAGCCTACATTGGAGATGTCAAGAAAAGCAGTTTCTCGCAAATTTTGTGTGGCTGGCCCAGTCCTGGTCTTAGGGCAGGGCTGTAAGCAAAAAGGAAAATGGGAAAGGCCCTACTCTTGCTGAGCACTGCCCCCTCTCAGACACCAGCTGGATGAGGGGGAGCTTTGTTCCCCACCATGGCCTAAACCAGGACAGTTGCCCCAAAGTCCCAATCCTCACAATAGCTTTAACTTCAAAGACCTCTGACTTCCCAACTCCTTTTCTGTAGCTGACTGAGAAGCTGACTATATTTCTCCCCATTTCGCTAGCTGATGGCCAGATGCTTTGTACCTCGTATAAGATTAGGAAATTAACAATTCCTATCTCCAGCCTTACTCTCTGCTTAACACAGGGTGTTTGGCATGAGTATTTTGGCATGAGTATTTTTTTTTCTTAGTCCTGCATAACCCCTTCCTCAATGGATCTCCCTTTGCAATGCTAAGGACGATTTATACCCAAGAATAGCAATACAAGGAATTTATCTGACATGGACAAAAGTCCAAAAAGAAGCGTGTGAGATTTAGAAAACATCAGCTAGGAATCTGAGCACTGAGATGTCAGCAAACTGCTCTTTTCAGCTATGTTTTATAATCTGGAAAGAAGTGAAAAGCATGAAACAGGATTTAAGATAACCTGCTTTACTCTGAAATGAAGTGGAGAGGACATGTTTACATTTTACCAGAGTGAGAAATACTTGAACTTTTGGAGTTGGGTGTCTGATTATGCTCTGTGCACACATCAAGAGGCTAAAATAAGGCATATGATGCAGATGGCCTAGGAAGCAGATGACTTCATATTTGGACGCTATCCTATTTTATGCATAGGGAGGAGTGAAATGTATTCATCAGCTTAGAGAAGGAAACTAGAAGTCTAATCACATTTCAGGATCTGCCATAGAATGAAAACATGTCTAAATATGGTGCAGAGATAAGAGAAAGACTGCTAAAAACATCAGGACAAGTACTAAGGTATTGTTACAGTTCTTAGTCAGGCTAACTCCTAGTGAAGTCAGTAGACATCTTCTGAACAGCAGTTCAAATAAATTCTAGGTTTGTCCCATAACTGTTAAATCCCCCCCTCATCTACAAACAAACACCCTCTTGAAAGAAATGTGCAAAGCCAACTGTCTGCTTTTCAAGGACTGCTGTTGGCATCTCTGGCAGTTTTATTTTCAATCCAAAAAATCTAACAGCCCTTGCTAGGATAATGAACTTCTGCGTTTAAGAAATAAATGCCATGCAATTAAACTATATACATATTTTCTGTTTCCTCCTATCAGTGGTGCCATGCACATCTGTGAGAGCATTCTGACCTGATGAATTGAATTTTTTATTATTTGCAAATGCAACATTTGTAAAATGCAATGTGAAACAAATTTTGCAGGTCAGTCCCTTGGATGTTGTATCATTAGTCAATGACAAGACATCCTGTGGATGCATCTTCCATATTTCTGTAATGTTTCCAATACAGTATCAGTCCTTCAGAACAGGAGCACCTGCAGGCAGAAAGGCAGTAAACATTACATTTTCCTATGTCAGAAATGCAAGGCTTGGACAAACACATTGTAAGGTGGTCTACAGGAGATGAAAATGTTGGGAATACTTGTTTTCTTGTGGGGAGGTACTAAGTTGTAATTTAGGGCATTCAAGCTAAATTGGCAGTCACATGTTATAAGAAGCCATGATTCCCTGAGCCCCTCTTTCCCAGCCTGTTGGCATGATTTCAGTACCTCCATGTAACTGAGAACAGGTGGGGTTCTCCGAGCCTGCCCACACCCAGAGTACTTTGGCTTACTTGCAGGAACTGCTAACCCTTGGTGTTGCCGAGACGGCTCACTCCAATTCGGTCAAGAGGAACGCCAAACCTTCTCTTAGGCAGCTCAACCACTTTCCTGCATAGAGAAGGAGAAAAAGCAAAGAAGTAGAGAAAGAATTGGGGAAAGACATCATAGGAATAATCAAAATGTAACTGCATCTTTGATTCCTCCATTCATCCCATGAACAGCTCCTTGTTCAGACAGAACAGCTGTGCAGGAGCAGCCAAAGATGTGAGTGTTTAAAAATAAGATGCTTCACTTGTCTTACAAAAGAATAGGCAGGAGTTGCACATGTTTTAGACTGGCTGACATCACTATCCCTGTTTTTATTTGGCAGCAAACAAGTAACCTCACAGGTTAACTGCTATTCGTAAAAGTAAGGAGATACACATCCGTGTATAAAGGGGAACTGTTTCATGCATAGTATCATACACTTCAGGTGACCATTAGCCTGGGTCTTTGAAACCTCCAGAGCCAACTGGGGCTAAGACATGCGAGGAAGTACAAAGTATCGCACAGTAACAGAGAGGACATGTCAGAAGAGCCCCAGGAGGATTTTCCTGTAGTGTCTCCTTAAATGCACTGTTCTCAAAATTGTATAGTAGATGAGAAGGAAAATGGGAGGGTTTTGTTATGCTTTTTACCTCCATGTGGTGCATTTCTTGATGATTAGGTGAATGAGGGCATGAGGAAAGCATGAAAGAAGTTCTATCCAGGAATACTTTTCATGATTTTTTAATATGAAAAAGAAGTTTACCCATCTTAATTCAGCATATTTAAGCATTTTTTTTTCCACGAGCAGATGTTTTATTTTAATCAATTGTGGAAATGGTGAGATTTTCTCCAGCTGAGAATAACTTCAACTTTTGCCCTTGGAAATGCTTGCCAGTGAAATGCAGGTCCAAGAGAATCCCTGGAAGATGAACTCTTTTCTCTATCTGTCCTTGTCAAGGAACATAAATAAAAAGAAATTTTGTTCTGTGAGGTGGCAAATGCAAAGTGACTAGCAGGAGAGTATGCTATGGTGCACTTGAGTCTAACTCTCCGTGCTAGCACTGCCATGCTCACTCAGCCTGTGGCTTTGGGGGCTCTGCAACACCCCACACAGGACTATGTGTCTAATCCATGGTCTCATCTGAGCACTCTCCTTTCCCCACACCTCTCAGGCATGGGCTGAAGTCCAGAGGCATCGTTCCAGCACCAGTAGCCCATTTCACACTGCTTCTTTCCTAGCTACTTTTCAGATCAGGTCAGGAAATGGGAATTGACAGTGCCACATATGTAGGGAGCACCACTTCGGTCACACTGGAGCAGCTACAGAACTTCACAAATGACAAGGAGCCGTTTGAATAGCCCTCACCACCCCTTCCTCAAACACCTACGTATCCAGCATTGTTGCACTAAGCCACAGGGAAAGCAGAGGGAAAGCCAGCCAAGGGCTGACCCTCAGCCTGTTGCCTCAAGGGCAGCACTCTTTTGCCCCCAGGAGCAGGCACAAGCTGGTGGGGGCCCGTGAGAGACTTGTCTGCTGGATTCAGGCTGAGCCTGACTTGATAAAGAGGAGAATTAATTTCCCACATTGGATTACGGGTGTTCTGCATCACTAGTTATAACACCATCATGCTCTGTAATTAAACAGAGAAGGAAATTGTAAGGTCATGCCCACGGGAAGGCAGGGCAGGCAGGCAGGCGGGCAGGCAGGCAGGCGGGCAGGCAGGCTGGCTGTGTAGGCAGGCTGGC